GTCCTTAGACACACCCACCCCTAGCTTTCCTCAGACACAGTATCGTCAGTAAAACTTCACTTATTCTGTATCCTTAGAATAGTCAACATATCTATATCGGTCTCTACCCTTATAAGTCGCGTACTTAATGTATTGTTGTAACTAAGTCTTACATAACGTGGTTGGAGTGAATTGTGATTTATGTTAATTCAGTGCGTGTTACATTGTGATTGCTGAATTCATAATAAAGGTTGATTAAAACAAAGTTAATAGTTGTGTTACGACTCAACTATATTTTATTTTCACCAACCAACCCTAAAAATTACGTGACACGGGCACCGATCATTGAATTTCCTACAGCCGTAAGTAAACAAAGGACCAAAGGATTTCTGTGTTCGATGCATTTCCACCGATTCGCTACGAAACCTCAGTTTCTCTCGTTTTTCGAAACGGTGTCACAAGATAGTTAACAAACATGGTTAATTATTATAATTCTTAATCATAATCAATTAGTTTTCACTCTCATGACAATAAAAGTTTCGAGAGTTTGGAGAGCGTGCAGGGATATAAAATCGTTGGGCGGAAACGCGACGCTCGCCTTTTGAGCGATCGTCTTATCCTTATCGTGACGTGAAATTTGAAGTCCTTCGACGACAATCAAATCTCATTGTGTTTTCGCCTAATTATACTTCTAACAACAGTTTATAGATGACGAGCCACACTTGATGTATTATTCTCATATGTCGTCGTAAGCTCGGGTTCCGAGTTAAGCGAATAACCCTGTAATTAGTATCTTGTTACTTGCTAGTTAAAAGTTGTTAGCATAAAACGAGATACATACGTGTCTTGTGACACCGTTTCACAATTCGCTCCAACCACGTTATGTAAGACTTAGTTACAACAATACATTAAGTACGCGACTTATAAGGGTAGAGACCGATATAGATATGTTGACTATTCTAAGGATACAGAATAAGTGAAGTTTTACTGACGATACTGTGTCTGAGGAAAGCTAGGGGTGGGTGTGTCTAAGGACCGGGTCCCATATCGGATTTGTTGATGACAATTTTGGTTAAGGAAGTGAGGGCAGTAGATACCGTCTCCGATTGGATAATAAGACGGTTGGCGGACCAGGAAGGGTTTTAGCCGCCCTCGCGAGAAAGTTGCTAACGGAACATACCAGATGTGAAGAAAACCAACTTTCTAAGCTAATACGTGGTAGACAATAAACGTAAAGGGAAATACTCGCTTGGTCCGAAGGACCTTAACTATGAAAATGCCAAGGCCCCTGGTGGGCACTTAAGACTATTGAGGGTGCGCACCAAGGATATGCAGACATCTGGGTGCCATCCTGTCCGTGGTGTGTGGCCTGGTCTCTGATGTGAATTGACGTTATAGGAACACACGAGAAATCTGTTTTCTCTCACGTACGACGCTTCTCGCTAGCAACATCCTCTCAAGGGCAGCTAGCATCCTTTTCCAACGACCAACGCGAATTAGCCAATGAACATTAACATACATTTCCCTCACTTTCCGAACCAAAACTTTTCTCAACGAATCCGATGTCCTCGCATCTTTAGACACATTCCAACACAGTTTTCCTTTGCAGCAGCGCCGTGACGGAAAGTCAGTCTGTTACAGGGAGTCAACACACAACGGTCGTTACACTTACACGGTTCGAGTCGAATAATTACCTAAGCCCTCGACATCTCGTGCAATCATCGTCCGCACTCGTGGCGCATCTCGAATCATTGCTATCCGAGCTCCAACTCGTAACCACGCATCCGCGAACTGAATATAACCGCGAGTCTTGCATCAAGTGTACTCACCGACATTACAGTGAATAAACATTTATTATTGAACACATCTGAGTTTTCCTTCCGAACCTATCACGACATATCACCTCAATACTTTGTTACATATGAAACCACTCAAAATTCCATGCATGTATAATATATGTCGGAGAGGTGACGGCCATAGGGTTGTGGGCGTTTGATAAATCTTCATTGGAACTGGCCATCGTCGCGGTGTAATAAAGAGACGGTTTGCTAACACGAGTATGGATAGTACAGGAACAACCATGGCGGTTGGACTCTCGCGATACTAGTGATATTGGTCTTAGGTTCAATAACGAATCCGCGGCCAACGGGATGATAGACCTACTTGCGCGATACACTAACTCAGGCGTGTAACATTCACGAACCGTAAGGCGTTACTCCTCGTCGATGAGATCGTAAAAAGGAATGCATCTCCGTCCCGACGATGCCACCGAGAAAAACTATGATGGGGTGTGCCTAAGGACGCGAGATCATCGGATTCGTCGAGGACAACCTTCGTTCAGAAAGTAAGGGAAATTGGCGTTGC